CAAATCAGAAAGTAATGTGAATACTACAAATCAGAAAGTAATGTGAACACTACAAATATACAAACTATAAATCAGAAAGTAATGTGAACACTACAAATATACAAACTACAAATCAGAAAGTAATGTGAATACTACAAACATTAAAATGTGGTGTTACCTTTAATAAAATGGAAGTGTGTCTGTTCCACGAGACGTGTGGCTGTCGGTCAAATACACTCCTAAACACACTCTCCATGTGGATTGGTGTAATCTCGCCTTTTTTTCTCACCTGCACACAGCTAACCAATCACAGCGTGGAGCGGGTGTGAATGTTGGCCGTCGTGTTTTTCAAGGGGAGCGCCCTCTGTAACCCTAGCGTGATGATAATACATAAGTCAGACCTGCAGGGTTTACCTGGATCTCTACCATTCATTGTTTCTCGTTGAATCCTGCTTCAACGGCTTGAGTTCATCAGGAGTTAAAGCTTTGAGTTATGTTTCACTGCCCACTAGGGGGCCTTACAGTGCAACCTACCAGTGTTTGTACTTGTGTGCTTTTTGATACAGGAGCTCTTTTACAGTGACAGTGTGTGTGTGGGTGTGTGTGTGTCCTTAGCTACCAATGGTTTAGACAGCTCCATTCCCATGGCCTACCTGAAACTGGATCACCAGTTACAGGTAAGTTGAAAATATGTTTTTGTGTTCATCAGATATAAACCTCTCCTCTTCAACATAGTACTGCCATTGCTACTACAACTCTTAATAATATTTCATAGTTGTTTGACTGTTGCCTGTTTTGTTTTTGTGTTCATCAGATAAAAACCTCTCCTCTTCAACATAGTACTGCCATTGCTACTACAACTCTTAATAATAATATTTCATAGTTGTTTGACTGTTGCCTGTTTTGTTTTATGTAAATTGCTTTCTATAACTCTGCTCATAGACCACTTTACATGGTCACAGCTGTAGTGTGTCCTCAATACACACTGTCCCTTCATTATACGTTTCTCCAGCTTTTTGGCATACATCTGAACTGTAAGTGAAAACAATACAAAAATGTAAATAAATCAAAAAGAGCAGAATTCCAGTATGTACATTAACACTTAAAGCGCCCGTGTGCAGCATTTAGGGGGCTCTAGTGACAGAAATTGAATATAATGTTAATAAGTATGTTGTCATTAGTATATAATCCCCTGAAAATCAGAATAATTTCGTTTTTGTTGCCTTGGAATGAGCCGTTTATATCTACATACACAGCGGGTCCTCTTCATGGCCGCCGTGTTTCTACATGAGCCCAGAAGGGACAAACCAAACACTGGCTCTAGACAGGCTCAGTCACATTTTCATGTTTTTGAGTCGGCCACTGGCTGGATGATGCATATCATGATACAGGGTTACAATTCAATATACTGCCATTGTGATACTATAAACAAGGCGATATATTGCAATTTTTATAAAATACTATACTTAAGTGAGTCCATATTTTCTTATCTCCTAATATCGAGCTCCACCGTTGACACTGAGCCAGAGAGAGATGAGGTTTGACGGATGATGTATTGTTTCTTTCATACATTAGAAGTTCCTCACGTGTTGGTCGTGATGAAACCTGCTCTGTAGCAGTGTACTAATCACCGACTGTCCCTGTGCTCCCAGCCTCTGGCCCCGTGTCCCAACTCCAAAGAGTCCATGGCCGTGTTTGAACAGCACATCAGGATGGCTCAGGACTACCTTAAAATCCAGTCAGAGATCGCTGACCTCGCTCGCAGGAAGTAAGTTGCCGTTGTCTTTGCTTGAACTACTTTAGACATGTTCTTTTTAATAGTAGATATTTTACTAATTAATATAAAATCAGCATCTGTGTGAGCAGCATGCTGTACATGTTTGGTATGGTAACATGTATGTGATTTTCCCCAATCCGTTAGAAAGTGGAGAGTGTGTCGTGTGTTTGAACAGATCCTTCTCAAACAGTGAGTGAAACATAGCGACTGCACAGCAACTATCCTCACCTTAATATAATCAGTGAGTCACCTGTCGGGTCATGTGACGTTCATGCTCTGTGTCGATGAGTCGGTGTGACCAGGAAACAAAGGTAGCATGTTTCCATTAGGCCAGATAAACAGAACTAAACAGGTGTGTAAGAGATCGGTGAGTTCACAACACTGAAAACACAAATGTTCCCTAAACCAAAACTAATAGGAACCTGGGTGATTTAAATATGACCCAGTTTAGATGAAATGATCAGGAACTGAACATTCTGAAATACATGAGACCTTTTCAAGGGCGTCTGCTGCCACTGGCTCCCTTGTAATTGTAAGTCTGAATTTAAAGGAACGGTTCAACATTTCTGAGAGTGAGATGAGAAGATTTAGATTAATCCAAGTACAGACCTGGAGTCAGAACGTAGTTAGCCTAGCTTAGCATAAAGACTGGAAGCTGGGGGAAAGTGGCAGGTAGCTCCCCAAGAAACCTGTTTGTTCATGCACGGATGGATTCATTCGTGCCAGGCAAGCGTTTTCCTCCTGCTTCCAGTCTTTATGCTAAGCTAACCTAAGCTAACCACGCCCCGATTATATTTTTTCCACTGTTAGCGGTTGACTGTCATCGATGAATAATATTTTTTTTCTGTTATAGCAGCTGGTAAACAACTTTTTTTTCACCATCGTCGCGGATCAATTCAAAAAAATAATTTCAAGCGTCCCGAGGTGAACGTAAAACTTCTAAATGTTATCTTTTGACTTTGTGAGCCATAGTGGTTATTTTCATAAAAACACAAAATTCAAATGATTAGGAAATAAATGATTGTATTTCTATTTCAATATTGGCCTTGATTTAAAAAAAACATCTCCTTCAAACAACGGTTTCATCTAGCAGAGAGAGAAATCCTTTTGAGAGCCATTTTAAAAGTGAAAGTGATTTTGAAAAGTTCCAGGTGTTCTAGTCAGATTGCTGCCGTGACTTTTACGTGAAAAGTAGCCGCAGACAGTAACAGAGGCTCCTTGTCTTTAGAGAGGAGCTCATGTCTGAGCTGGAGCAGGACCAGAGGGAGCAGCAGACCTCATCCAGACTCATCCAGGAGCACAGCAAGCTGCTGGAGGACAACAGCAGCCTCTCCTCCAACTGCCAGGGCCTGAGGAGCAAGCTGAGCCTGATCAAGAACCAGAACCAGCAACACAGCTAGGACCCGCTCCACCTTGTCTTCACCACCGGCTCTTTCTCCGACGCATGAGAGGAATCACTCCATGAACCGACCTTCAAAGTAGGGAAAGCCCTTTATGTTGAGGAAATCGACATATGTGTCTTACGTCAGAACCATGTGTCAGGAGATCACGGATGGGCCCGTTGGTCGAGAACCTGTCCCAAACTGAATTCAAACGACAAACATTTCCCATCAGTGCCAAAAATTCACTCCCACTGGAGAACACCAATGCAGAGGGTGTCGACACTACAGGAAAATAAGTGAAAGTTCTTCTTTTTTAGTTATTACGGTTTTTAATGATTTCAATTTGACTTTCAAATAAACTAGCACGTCCTTTCTGGGCCTCCGTACATTAGATGGTGGGTTGGCCATAACAGTCAGTATTCACATTGGTATTGATGGGTGGACCAAGGACATTCACATGGACTTGTACTCTGAAATGGACCTAAAGGTGACTTGCCTTTTTTTTTTTTTTTTTTTTTTTTTTTTCTTCCAAGCCAGTGAGTTTTATTTGACTATATTTTCTCTTTTTTTTGAGTTGTTTAAAAGTAACTACGATTGTAATTTGTAAATTCTTACCTTTTACATATTCAGTATATCACCTATTGTATTATGATTTATGAAAAGAGGAGAGGTACCGACAGTGTGGGCCGTATCATTTTAATCATTTCAAATATTTTACTGTGAATACAAGACGTAACCAAAGGAGTTGTGCTTCAGAGCCGCGCTGCCTCGGAGCAAAAGAAAAGCTTTGTGTTTGAAATGGAAATAACTGTGGAATAATGAACCTGGCAGACATCTCTATATCGCTTTCATTTCTCTTTCCTTTCGTTACTTTTTTTACACACACTTATATTTCACAGAATGATATTGACATTGTTCTGCACTGCACTTATTTGGGTCAAAGGAATGTGTTGTAGTCTCACTTTGGTCGGGTGGTTTCTATGACAGCGGGGTTACTCTGGGATGGCTTGTTGTTTGAATGCATCTCTTCAGACGCTGCCTAAGGATTGTTCTTGTACAGTTAATCTTTTTCATCTCAGTTTATTTCATAAAACATGTCTCCTGTGATTTTTAAAATGTACAGACTGCAATGATATGCTTTTAGAGAGTAAAAACAAAGTTTGTAGTATTTTGTCCGTTGTCTTCATTGAGAACACCGCTTCAGTTGCAAGTTGACTAGCAGACGGATCATAAAACGGAGGATTGTTGGTGTTGATTTGGTGAAATATGCTGTTCGCTGCTCAGCTTTCAGTGCAGTGTGAAGGCTTGTGGAGCTGAGCTGACACCCTACGCTCCTTTTAAAGAGGACATATTTTTCAAATTTTCAGGTTGATGCTTTTATTTTGAGTTTCTGCTAGAACATGTTTGCATGCTTCAATGTTCAAAAACACATTCTTTTTCACTGGCCATGGTTGCAGCGCCTATATCCACCCTCTATCTGAAACGTGTCTCTTTGAGACACGTTTCAGATAGAGGGTGGATACAAAGCCCAGTTTCAGATTGTTAATGCTGCTTTTAATTTTATCCTTCTTTTTTGCGAATCGTGACTCGTTAACCAAACAATTGTTCCCCGAATTGACTGTGTTTGAATGATTTGACCAAAGAAATTAAGTTAATCTCATCAAATGTCGAAGTGAGAAAACCTCTCATTTTACTGCAGCAGGCTCTGACAGTCTGCCCCTCCCAGTACTGGTTCTGGTTCTCCCGTGCCTCCCTTCCCTCGAGTGGGTCCAGCCATACGGCCTGGGTCTCCAGCAGCGTGGTGTCGGAGTTGTCTCCCAGAGAGGAGAATAACTATAGATATCTAGCTGATGGTCTCACTATGCCGGTCATGTAGATGCATCAGCATTAAGTGAGACTGTTTCACAACCAGTTAAAAGTTCCTCATACAGAGTGGACATATCAATAATGTTGATTCATTTAGATAATTACTACTTATTTTGTGCCTAAAGAACAATGTATACGCATTGATACAAATCTTGACTATGATAATGAAGACATTAAGCATTTCCCTCCCATAAAGCTTTAACATTGTGTTCACGGCCCTCTCGGCTCCTGGCCTGTACACGGAGTGGTGAGCAGTAGTGGGCCGGTCCCGTCCAGCAGCGAGCATGTCTGTGGTGACGGGGCAGCGGAGCCCACAGTGTGCTGCAGAGGAACAGCTTTGTCTGCAGGACGACTGACAAACCTCCGTGTCCACTAAGCTTGCTGTCATCCCTCACATTCCCGCAGCCTCCGTGCACAGCCAGTTAAAGGGCTGGTTCGTCTGAATGTTACAGTGAAAGAGCTGCTACAGCTACTGTTCTATACACAGAAATGATCAACGATGCTTCGCAGCCCCGTTTTTGTTGCATTAGTGCCAGGATGGACGTGTCGGTCCCTCACCACCTTGGTCCAGTTCAACTACTAGCAAAATAACCACGGCATTCCCGTTATGGGGTCAAATTTCCCTCTGACAAACAATACAGCCAATAACAGAATATCGTGTGGAGGATGGATTCTGCTGTAGATATTCAATGTGCCAAAAGAATCATTGGAGTATTTGTTGGTGACCTCCTGACCTTTTATCTAGTGCCAGAATGTCCATCAGAAATATAAAATATATACTGTATATAGTACATTGCCACTGACCTGAGGGGCATCCTTTCCACTGGATATTATTTTTGTGTTTTGGGGGGTTAGAGATGAAAATGCAATGTCCTCTATTAATGAAACAAAATGTATATTCCAGTGGAGTTAGTGCATTAATAATCAATGTGATCACGTTTAGTCAACGAAACCACTTTGTTGGAAAGAAAAAAATCATGGTTTGGCTTAAAATAAGTTTGATGTTACGGAACTTATGCTACGGACGTAACGTCATGTGACTCAGTGACGTATGGCGTCGCTTGACGGAACGTTGTCAGTAAATATAGCTCAACTTTTGGTTTCACGTGGGACATGAACGCCGGTCCCCTGAGTAAAAGTCCTATGTTTGTTTCCTGTAGTGCTGCCTTGAGGACAAACTTTACATTTATAGCCCCACTGCTGGTAGGGCAAGGTGTGTGTGTGTGCGTGCGTGCGTGCGTGCGTGCGTGCGTGCGTGCGCCAAGCAATTGGGCTGAGTTATTTTGGGGACTTGTTTGATATGGCCTCATTTGCGAGACAAATTCTTGAAGCATGAACATAAATAATAATAAATAAACATGCCCACTGAATACCCTTCCATCCTTTACCTCCTAATCTCTTGCAGGTATCTATTGGAGCTCACGTCGGGTGAGACGTGGAGAGAACCTGGACAGGTCTCCAGTCTATCACACACACAGCCAACGTAGCGTCTCCAGTTAGCCCAACAAGTCTTAGGACTATGAGAGGAAACCACAGCGACCTATGTTTAAAGAACTTACTTGCAATCTCCATCCAGATGGAAGGACTCCAGATGGCCGATCTGGATTCAAACCTGTGCCTCAAACTGTTTAACTGAATGGTGGCGCTTTGTATTGAGAATTAGTTGCCAAGTCAGTTTTCACATACAAGGAATTTGTTTTTTGGTGTTTTGGTGCAAAAAAAAAAAACAAAGGTGAGAAAGCAATTAGGCCTTCTGTAAAAGTCAATTAAACCACCGATACGTTGAATGTCAATGTTTCTGGACCAAAAATACATTTGATGAATATGATTCATATCAGCCTCGTATCACGCTTACAGAAATGTAACAATGCCACGTGGTTAGCGTTGTGAAATAATTGGTTAGGTTTAGGCAACAAAACTGCTCGTAGCAACACAACATAACAGCGTAACATAACAATGTACCTAACTTAGTAACCACTCGTCCACAACCATTTGCACCCCCCCTCGGTGGACTTTCTTTCCTGTCATACTCACTATTGTAACACGTAACTTTCGCCTTACTTTGCTCGCTGCCAAAACAACATTCAACGTATCCGTGGTTTGCAGAAACATACCACATTTGTTTGCTGGCGACTGGACTGGAAGAACACATCGCAGAGACAAACAGCTGCAACACTGAACCACCGATCTGCTGTCCCCACTGGTTTATAGCTCCCAAGACCTAATGTTAGCAGAACGAAACAATACGGGCAAGAAATAGTGCACATTACTATACAGCACAAGCTGTGGTATTATACATTTGAATTGATACAGGGGAAAAAAAGCATGATAAAAAAAAAAACATCTGGAAAAATGCAGCAATTAGACAGTTATGGATGGCTATAGCTATCTATTCCAAGTACACCAAATATATTCACGAACAACGTAGTATTTTCTTTTCTAATTTCATGCTCAGTTTAACTTGCACCTCCAAACAGACCGTTTAAGAAGATACAATTGGTTGAGGGATAAGTCGAGAGTATTGCTTTGATTCGTGGGTGAAATTGAGAAACGAGTGGGGCGAAACAATTTGTCTCAGAAGCCCTCCTCATCATCGTCAGCCGCAGTACAGCAGGTTACTGATGTTAACTGCCATCTCCGCTCTGGAGGTGTGTGTCTGGTTTAAGTGAGGGACTGGATTCATCCGAACGCAAGGCTTCAGTTTCCATAGCGATGCGGAGGTTTTTATAGATCCCAGTACTCCCTTCAACAACAGTTTGACATGTTCTGCGGTAATTTGGTTTCTCACACACACACACACACACTCACAGAGCAAAAGCTCCTGGATGATAGGTTGGACTAAATTTTAACTCACCACCCTCTGTTTTGATGGTACAACACAGACATCAGCAGCTTCATCTGCCTTTTAAAAAGAGGAAGATAAAACATCAGGGGTGTGCTGGTATAAAAATGACCATTGGATAAACCTGCTCAGATAAAAGTATGAAAGTATTTGGTCAATAAACTACCGAAATTACAAGGTACTTAGTGTTTTCATGTTGATTTGGCAGGCAGGGACCTATAGCACCTCCAAGAGGGCATCAGCTGGAAGAGGTGGTGGGCCGGGTAAGAGGGGTCGACATTATTTTGTGGCTCTTTTGATTGTGTGTTTGGGATACAGTGATTCAACTGATGGGAGGGGGGAGAAAATAATCTTAATTATTTATTGACTACGCGCTGCAGTTTCTGTGCATGCGACTGTCCGTGCTGCCGTACCAAACTGTCATGGATAAGGAGAGTACGCTCTCAGTGATGGCTGTATAAAGGGAAGGAGGCCGGTCTTTGCTGGGCTTTTTTTGGTGAAGTCAGAGTCAGGTCTCAAGTCTGGTCAAGAGTCAGAGTCAGGTCTCAAGTCTTGTGTCAAGAGTCAGAATCAGGTCTCAAGTCTGGTCAAGAGTCAGTCAGGTCTCAAGTCTTTGGTCAAGAGTCAGAGTCAGGTCTCAAGTCTTTGGTCAAGAGTCAGTCAGGTCTCAAGTCTTGTGTCAAGAGTCAGTCAGGTCTCAAGTCTTGTGTCAAGAGTCAGAGTCAGGTCTCAAGTCTGGTCGAGAGTCAGTCAGGTCTCAAGTCTTTGGTCATGAGTCAGAATTAGGTCTCAAGTCTTTGGTCAAGAGTCAGAATTAGGTCTCAAGTCTTTGGTCAAGAGTCAGAGTCAGGTCTCAAGTCTTGTGTCAAGAGTCAGTCAGGTCTCAAGTCTTGTGTCAAGAGTCAGTCAGGTCTCAAGTCTTGTGTCAAGAGTCAGAGTCAGGTCTCAAGTCTTCTGTCAATAATCAGAGTTAGGTCTCAAGTCTTGTGTCAAGAGTCCGAGTCAGGTTTCAAGTCTTTGGTCAAGAGTCAGAGTCAGGTCTCAAGTATTGTGTCAAGAGTCAGAGTCAAGTCTCAAGTCTTTGGTCAAGAGTCAGAGTCAGGTCTCAAGTCTTTGGTCAAGAGTCAGTCAGGTCTCAAGTATTGTGTCAAGAGTCAGAGTCAGGTCTCAAGTCTTTGGTCAACAGTCAGAGT